CGTTTCTCGCTTTAAAAATGTAATATGATGACTCCTAAATTAAAAAGGTAATGGACTACTCATTACAGTTTAGATTTCTCTGATTGGATCTTGTGCCTCTTCGAGAACCTAATCGTATTGACAAGTGACTTTTTTTCCCTAAGTTTAAATGTTTACCTACACGTTGATGTAATACGTGAATACAAATAAATAATCGACTAAATAAAAATATGAAACGACTTTTATATATTTAGGACATATACTGTTACATAATATGATACATAAATTAAACAGAAGTTGTAAAGATACACAACGAGAAGTGATACAAATTTTTCTCTTTTCTTTACGAATAAAAACAGTATCCGGGACTTTATGCGTTTAAATACTGTATTAACTTGCGTATTGGTCCTCCAGTTTTTACTCATTTTACTTCTTGAAAATCAAGATGGAAGATTTCAAGAGGGGATTCCTTTCTGAAGATAAATAACTTAGCAGATAATGAAAAACTTTAGAGTTAGGTATATTACTCTTATTGTATGTTATATTTCAAATACATTCCCCTCAGTTTTCGCTTTCAGTACTTTTCTTTTAAAACAAAAATTTCTAAATTATATACTGAAAAAGTTGGGTAAACGAACAAGAGAATAAATTTAACATTAAACACAATACTTACTATAGATTTCGGCACTTTTATGTTTGTTAATATAGAACTGTTCTTAAAAATATCTGTGGTGTCTAGCTACATTATAGAAATTTAATTGAATCATTCGTATTAAATATAACTTATCTCATTCAAGAATAATTAACAGCTTTATCAATATGTGTGATTATTCGTAGAGTATATTATATTAAGTTGTATATTTAAGCATATTCGTAAACTCAAAATATATTTATCCTGTGATGACGTAACCGTAAAATACGAGAAAGAACTAGCACTTTCAACTAGAACTTGTTGGACATAGTAAGAAACATTCTGTTTTAATACGACTTAGGAAGACGAAAAATTCCAATCGTTATTGATCATCCTTTATCGATCCAAATTCTTCGTGTTCTCCTCCGAAGAAAAGAATTTCGATTCCGACAGGCAAACAGCCAGAAAATAAAATATGCTATTAACCAAAGTACAGCAAGTTTTTTTATACACGATCTACATCGAATCATAAAGTAAACTTTCCGTTTTAAGGTAGAATAGTCTCGTTATAGGAATGAAAGCGTAGCATTTCGCGCTTATTAAGATAACTACCATTACACTTTCAGAATTTACAAGTAGCTATCGTCTCCACATAACCAAGTTAACCCTAATTCATTCAGCGAAATAAACAAAAAGAAAGTAGTTAAACTGAAATTATATCGACAGTGAGAATGTATGGTTGTATAAAGTAGAGTAGTCTCAAAATAAAAATTGTGTAACATGTAGACTGACAAAATAAAAATACTTATTCAGAATTATAATATCTATCCGAAATTATTTACAAATCTAACAATGCTTCGATGCACTGGCTAGGTTTTTAATAAAACATAAAATCTCTCCTGGAAGCCATCAAAGAAACAAACCAGGTACAAACCAAGGCATAGTCGATTCCTTGTAAATAAATAAATAAATCGGATTAAGGATGGAAATAATATTCGGTCAACTATTATATCTAAAATGGTTCTTATCCATTGTCTAAAGAGGCTACATTTGCTAAGAAATTAGTTCATCATTGGGATGGTTAACGAAATCTATAATTTTTTTTACCAAAATTTAAATTAAATATTCTGTTTTTGCAATTTTGCTTCGAGTATATTATTTCTCTTTCGAAATCTTTATTGGCCTTATTCATTTTAGGCTGAATACTTAGAGGTTCAGTAATATTATGCATTTAGTTGATTTTTCACGGGACTTTAATGATTTAGCACGGTACATTTTTTATGATTTATCACGGTATCAATATACTTTCATATGAAAGTCAGATACCTTAGAAGACTGCAGAACAAAAATATCTCCTTTATCAATAAAAATCAAAAAGTTTAAGTTTTATGCCTCAGTTTGCTATTGCGATAATGTGTTTTCTTTGATGTCTATCATTAGCAAATCAGTTAAAATTACTTTCAAAGATTTTAATAAAAATATTTTAATCACAACCATTTTTAGGGCTTGATTTTCATCAAAACAGATGTTTAAAACGAATTTTAAAAAGAGATGGCCGTGAAATATTAGAAAATATTGATTAACTATGTAACAACATTAGGTATTTTTTGGAAGCATGCAAGATGAAATGTGAGCAATCGCCTTCACCGGGAATCGAACCGCGGACCTCTGGAATACCGGCCCAGTGTGCAGAACCACTGCACCACGAAGGCACGCTAGAAAGCGGGAGAAATACCTTATATACTCCCCTTTTTCAAAGGGTGACTGGGGATTTTAGGACCCAATAAAGGGTTTTTAGGAGACCCAAACGCCAAATCCTGGGTGTGAAGAATCCTCATGATGCAGCTTTTAATTTTCACCTGTATTTCCACATATAGTAAAATTGGGATTAAAACTTGGCAGATATATTTCTTCATTCATATCGTATTATATTTTATTATTATTCACTGAACAACATTAATATGCATACTTTTGTTTGCAATAATCATTTTATAGTATTTTTTAGAAAGCATTTTTTGTGAAGTACATTCAATAGTTTGAATATATTTTTATGCTACTTTTCAACAAAAATTGCATTAATAAAGATCAAGCATAAATTTGATTTTACTCCTATTTGATTTTACTCCTATTTGATTTTACTCCTATTTTATGTACTGTTTTTGGCTTTCTAGTGCGTAAATAATTGGTTTGCTGCTTTTCCTTTTTTTATTCTCCTGTGTCGGATAACATTCATTAATTTTTCCGAAGAAGATTTATTTCGTTTGAATATTTCTAACACAGAAAATTTTTTTTTTTAATTTTAAAATACCAAGCCAATATACTAAACATCTCAGCATAGAAGCTAGAAACTTTAACCTTATACATTTTTTTCTTATTTATTCTGAGTTCATGGAAGTTAAAATGCTACTTTGACTTCAATTTTTGTAAAATTTCAGAATTTTTGCATGTTTTAAAAATTACTATATGTAAAGAAGTATTTTGCGGTTCTTCCAGCAGCTTCATAAAACTGACAGCTTATTTTGCTTCAATCACAACATGCTTTGCAAAACAAATGTGTTTAGAATGAAGTAGTGTTCCAGAAGACCGCGCACTTCCGCACTCGCGCAGACTTCGCATTCCCCGCGCGCCAAGAGAAGCAAGGGAGGTTCGAGCAACCCGCTTTATTATTCTGTATTTATTTTTCTTTTGCTCCTTCCGGGCAAGAGTACGTCAGTCGGCACCTACGTCAGTGGGCGTCTCCTACGGCCCGCCGATCGATATTTGAATTGGGGTTCTGCCGGCGCTGCGCGCTCTTTCCCCGGTACCCCCCTTGGCAGGCAATGGTCCCACCTACCTCCTTTTGCCGAACGACTGGGCAAGGGCGCGGGGGGCGCCAGTTGCACGCATTCCTCGTATCGATGCGAGCGCGCCCCGACGATGGCGGGCCGCCCCTGCTACAACAAGTCTGCCGAAGAATTCTAGCTACTCTTGTGGAGGTAGTTGTGGTTTTTAGCCAGAGCAGGCGAGTTCTCGACGTTTGCCCATGGATACCGCGGCGTGGCAGATACCACCAGGGTGCACCACCTTCCCTCCTCCCTGCCGCGCGAGATACCTCCTGAATGGATGCCTTACCTACGCGGATGTTGTTTGGAATTTACTTCCTGCGTGATCCTTTGCTGCTCTGGTGCCTGTGATGAAAAACATCGTGTCCTCCCGCTGAATCGGCGCACTTCTTCGGCCTTTGCATCCAGAGTTTAACTTCATTGCCCACTTCGAGCGCGAAACGAAACCTTCTTCAGTGATTCTTCTCTCCGCGGATATTTAAAGGGGATACATTGTTTGTGCGCGGGAAGCAACAAGGTTATAAAGATCGCATTGAAGAGCACGTGTATATATAAGTGGATACTGTGTATCATTTTCTTTGGAATATCACAACTTGTGCTTCTGCTGGATGCATAGAACGAGATCACGGATTCCTATCATGTTGCTTCTTTGAAAAAATATTTATATCCTTCGAATGTGAGGAAGTTTGTTATCAACGGAATTCTCAAAATTTCAAAAAGGCGTTTCAGAACTGAAGTATATTTACATTTTACATACAGTGTATCAAAGTGCGCTCAATATTAACAAAATTCTAGATAGTTTATTTTTTAAACCTATTTTCGAATTTATTTAAAACTTAAAAGATAATGTGATCGGTTTCGGAGCTTACTTATACATCTTATCACATAGTTATCAATTTTTTGTTTTTTCGCAAATTAATTTTAACGTTAAAATCCATATGCGTTTTCCAATTTCCGGTGTTGTTATTTCCGTAAAAATACATGCTTCAATATTTTAAAATAAATATACGTCTAGTTTATAAATTTAATGTTCATTGTCACTGGAAATTAAAATTCAGTGCTTATTATTAATTGAGAATTTATTTTTAAATAAACAGCGCTTGACCTCGCTCTGTTAAATGATCGTTATCCTCTAAGATAGTATTTAAAAGTTAAATTTTTTTCATGATATGCATATTTCTTCTACGATAAAGAAAAAGTATTTTTTGAACTTCTTCAGGTTAAACTGCTGTGTGCTTCAGTGTTTTCATCATATCTCGTTTTCCAATTCTGTGTTCGTGTTCCTAGTGAAAGCGTATCAAGATTTCATATTTGCATTTAAAGTGATTTCATTTTACGAATGTTAGCATACTTCTATTTCAAAGTTCTTGTGCTATTAATCGATATTTTCTGTGTTGTGAAAGTGTAACGAAATTAGAAACAACATAGCATTTGGATTACTCCAGTTCTGTCTTTTTCCCAGTGTGATGAATGCTTTTCTACAATAAATCTATAGCCATAGCAGTGCTCATTTAACTTATTATCTGTATTCCAACGTGTACGTAAAATCTTTCATCACACTCAATGGATACAGTTTATTTTGTGAATGTTACGGAAGAGCAGCTGAAAAAAGTCTGGTGCGTATGTTTTTTGGATTAATTAATTACACCAAAGTATCGATTAATTAGTTCAAAGTATTTAGATTTTAGATTATAAAAAGAAATGAATGACATATATATTTACAAGGCATCCTTTGATGCCCTTTTTTGAAATTTTTCCATTAGTGATTTACAAAATTTTTCAGTACATTGCGTATATTCTGGAATATTTCTACAATAAAAAAATAATTGATTCCGTATGGAGGGGAAGTACTGATCATGAGGTCTACAAATTCTCATCTTCACAGTCGGTGACATCGATATCTAATATCCAGACAGTGATCGACATGGATCTTGTCCAGAACTCGAGAAAAAGCATCTCGCCTTCCGAGTACTGCAATGTCTATAATAGTAGGGTTGAACAGGCTGTTGAAGCGTTTATGGATAGGTTGGGGGGTAGACTAGGGGAGCTGGAAGTGGAGCTTCGGTATGCATGGAGAGCGGTGGATTTGCTGTCCCAAGAGTACGTAAAAATGTGGGAGAAATTAGAACGGTTAGAAATTTTGCTCTACGAGCAACAAAATGTTATCGCGCAATTGCTTTCTGTTATTAAAAACAGCGGGGAGGACCCTGAAGAGTATCTTAATACTAGAGGAGATTCAGTGGCGAGTGATTCCTCTCTTAAAGACAGAATCCTCCTAAAGCATCCTGATTTAGGATCCAACGTAGATCTTTCTGAAAGTGACCTTTTGGGAGTAGGTGGATTTAATAACCAAGCGGAAGAAGGTAGCGAAAGCGATCAAAGCAGCCTCAAGTGGGCGAAGAAATACCCAGGTTTTCATTATGCATCTAAATATGTAGACCCTTCCACTACTTCTGAAGCTTCTGATTGGGAAGGTGCTAGCCAAGGCAGTCCCGCTTATTTTCACTCCGATCTCCTGCAGTATCCCAGACGCGAAATTTTCACTTCTTCAGACTACAAAAGTTATCGTGGCACTTCACCTTGCATATCTGAGACAGATATGGCTGAATTGGATAGGCTTTCCGCCAAATTACAGAAAGTATCTGCTTCGGCTTCTGGCGTTACCTCTAGAGACGTTTACAAAACTCTTAGTCATATTCGAAATAGTCCTTTGCGCAGGCGAGATGTAAGTGCAATGAATGCTGACACAGATATTGCGTATGATCCCGAGATCTTATCGAGAATGGACAGAATGAAATTTCCTACATATGAGGAATTTGCTAAAACTGCATGCTTAGAAGGAGAAAGCTCTTCGCTTGATATTCGAGCAAGCAATGAGAGTTTACGATACACACCTGATTCAACTCTTAGTGCCAAAGAGAACGATGAGAGGATGACTTATACAAATAGAGGTGCCTCTTCTGCATGGGCTGATTCCATGGGCGCTAGTCCTAAAAGAAATTTAGGAATGATGTACAATAAGTATCCTTTAGAATCTCAGACGATTCCACCAGAATCGACGACAGATTCTCAGGACTATAGTGCACAAAATTACTTAGGGCACACTGTGGAGGAACGACAGAAAGGACATGCATTAACGCCAGTTACCGAAATAAGCCCAGAATACGCAGCTTCTGACACACCTATAAACGGCGCTGGCTCAAGCCCGGCTCCTGTAGAAAAACTAGATAGTGTTGCAGACGCCACCGTGTCTCCTTTAAGCCCTAGTGACAGGCCAAAAACTGTAAAAGCGGAAGTTCATACGTCTGATAAAAACAGGACTTTGGACACAGGTGATGCAATATCTGCAGATGAGCTAAATGTTTTGAAATCTCAAGGTGCTGGTTATGATGCTAATGTTCTAGGGCAGTCGTATAATACTAACTCTTCTTACAAGGAAAAACCGCGGAGAAGTAAGGAACTCCCTCAAATTCCATATCAGACAAATAAGCTGAAAAAGGCAGACTTTTCAACGGGGCAGGATGGAGCTTACCAGAAAGGAAGTAGTAATACCTTACCGCCCCCGAAGTCCAGTCATGTTCAGAAACATAATAAAAAAACATCTCCAGCTCCCTGTCGACGAAAATTACCCCAACCTTACATTGATAAATCGGGAAACATTACGTATGACAGATCGCAAGCCGTAAAGCCTGCCACAACCATAGCCTATACCCACGTGCTTTCTCAGCAATGCAAAGTTCAAATATCATCCAGTGACCTTCCTCAAAGTACGTCACATCAAGTTTACAACTCAGAACAGTCTACTGTACCAAAACGAAGTAACTATTTGTACGAAGCAGAAAATGACGACAGCGTAGAATATGATAATAAAGAAAAAGGAATTTCAGAATTTTCTCCAGAGCAAAACGAGTCTTCTAAATCTCGCATGGTACCTGAAGACGGACAGCCTTATGGTTATGAAAATGATCCAAAGGTATCTTGCTACGAGAAATGCCCAAACTCTGAAAATTCTGAACATCAAATTCTTTCATTTGAAGAACTTCCGCGTACAGATACTGATGATCATTACCCTACTCAGTATTATTCGCAATCAGATCAATCGTACGTAGCTGAAACATATGTAGAATACCAACATCCAGAAACCGACACGGGATTTCCAGACCAGTCTTTTGAAAATGAAACCGGTCATTATACTTGGGATGAACAAACGCAAGAAAACTGGAGCCATTCAGATCAAATGCTGTCTCAGTATCCATATAGAGATGAAAATATATCTAACGTGCCATCTTCCCAATATCAAAATTATTCTGAGCACCAAAGAGATCTCTATACTCCTACTGCTTATACCATCGCATCTGCAAATTATGACACTCAGTGTTATGAAAATCAACAAGAAACTAGCTACAGTGATTACAAAGAAAAGGAATTGAAACCTTTAGATAACGCACAATATCACGAGCCTGATCGCGAGGCAGGATATACTGCTCAGAATTATGAATATTACGCTGAACCTGTGCAAGAGAACTATTCAAATTACCCTTGTGAAACAACCTCCCAACCAGATACAGAACGCCCACCGCCTTATTATGCTAGTGATATAAGTTATAGTGAAGATAAAGATAATTCTGTTAATTATAATGTCGAGGAGAGTAGAAAAATTCCTCCTGAGAAACCTTTACGAGAACATGAAAGAGTTGCAAAAGCCGAAAACTTAACATATTCATCTCAACACAAAGGTTATTCTCCACAAAAATCAAAATCCGATCGCCGCCGTAGGCAAAGACAGTATTCAGATCCTGTAACTTCTGCAAATGCTATTCAAAGTCAAGCTCAGGTTATTGTGTCAGGGCATATGACTCCATCCACTAAACAACTGTCGACTTCAGCAACATCTGTAGCTGAAGATGCTACATCTACTTCTAGTGGTGGCATATTCAGTGTATTATCTAACAAAGTATCCAAAGGGTATAAGATGATAAGTATGCCTACCTTATCAAAGAAAGATTCTAAACCACCATCAACCCAGACTAATGCACCTAGTAGCAAGAGTGGAAGTATGAGTAGTCTGTTTGGCCTTGACAGTTTTAAAATGGGCTCTAAATCTAAGTCTCGTTCAGATAGTGTCAAAAGTGAAAGCGAGCTTTCTTTGTACGATGAACCTCAAGCCGTAATAGATTACCAAGAATCTTTGACTGAGCCATCAAGTGAATCGTATCCAGCGCCAGAAGCTACAGGAGATGATCATGATGTATTTTATGGTGCACCGGAATCTGAATATCAAGATAATATCGAAAGTGAATACCATGACGGTGGAGATTATCAGGAAGATACAGATTACCAGGACGAAGAATTTCAGGATACATCAGAATTTCCAGAAGAAACTCTTGATGACTATCTACCTGATCATGATGAAACAGAGACTAAAGAAGAAGTCCCCGCAAAAAGCGAAAGAACAATGACATTTGCTGAAGCATCCAGAAAAGCAAAGCAGGAGCGCAAAAAAAGTATGGCTGCTGAAGAATTTGCTTCTTTATTCCAGACCGTCTCCAAAGTACGGCATCATCCTCCTCAACCAAAGCAACCCGAAGACTCTGTAGAATCCGCTGGGCTAACATCTAGTATGTCGAATGAGTCTGCCTTTTTCTCTTGTGCCGATAGCAGGCAAAGTTCAATTGCCCAGTCAGAATATGGAAGCTTAGGTTCAGCGGAATCTGTAGTGCCTTATGAAAAAGATACTACTGCAAAACAGGATACTGAATCTTTCGATTCTTATGTCGCGCAAAAAGGCCCTGACGAGGATCGAGCATCAGGCGAAGATGGTGTGTCCCTTGCCGAAACGGTTGAGGGATCTGTGGTTAGTGAAACCGCTGTATCGGAAGATACTGGTATTCCTCCCAAAAAGGGAAAAAAAGTTCAGTTCGAAAGGAGTCCTTCTATAGAAGAATCTCAAGAAGAAGAAGCATCTGGTGATAAATCAAAAAAAGCACCGCCTGGGAGTACCAAAAGCAAGTGGATGAAATTAGCGGTTCGTACTTTTCAATTTATATTCTTTTTTTTATTATCTGATCTACTTTTAATTTTTTAATTATTGCTAGTTAAAAAACTCATTTAAATTGTTATATGTTTTTGAATTTATTTGCATTCTTTATTATACTGTCAGTATTATTCGTTAAGTTTAATTAGAAACACTTGATACTAAGTTTCACAGATTTCAATTCTAAATTTTCTATTCTATGTTCCTTTTCATGGCATACATTATAGTTTAGAACTATTACTTTATTACAAGAATATTTATTTCTTATTTTTACATACTTGGCCCGATCGTAAATTTAATACTGCATAAATGGAAATGGCATGGATTAAATTAAAAATATATTTTCCGGCGAAATTGTTTTAAATGGTATAAAAATGTACTCAAATTGTGCAAAAAATTCGTTTATCTAGTATAAACAAGTATTATATTGAATATGTCAAAAGAAAATATAGTTATACCACTTTATTTCTTTTTATAATTTTGAGTATTGAAATTTTGAAAGTATTTGTTTCAAGAAAGCTAAAGAATATTTGAGTTATTTTTATTTTGCCATTTTTTATGAAATATTTTAATGGTAAAATAATGTGTCAAAAACAGTATAAAAATAGAGTTTTTCTGGAATGATTGGATATTCATTATTATATAGGTAAGATTAGGTCTTCGCTTACCATTCACAGAAATTATTTCACATTTTTAAAATTGTCAAAAATATAAGTCTTGCTAATCCAGTAGAATTACTTGACATAATATCGTAAATAATAAACATCACAAAACAACTTTAATAATAATATTATCATTATTAAGTATTGTTTCATTGCAAATGTCATAGACATCCATCAAATTGTCATACGTGAAAATGTCTCATGTATGAAGTTTTCGTGCAATGCGTAAATGCAAACCTCTGCAGCTATCATCAAATTTTCTGCTATGAGAAACAGTATTTAGCAAGCAGTGGAGGACACTACTCTCTACGCGGAATGAAACATTTAAAAAGTCTTTTAATGTGTACCGAAAGGCATGTAAAAAATATGTGAACTCTTATTAGACATCAGAATGATTAAAAACGAATAAAATGTTGCGGAAATTTACATAATAAAATACATTAATTCATACACATATGTTTACATTACATTAATTTATTGCATAATTTTTTGAATAATTTATCCATCAAAGGTGCATCATACTCCTTATTTGACCATAAGATTAAATAAATCATCATCAGTGTTCATAAGATTAAATTTTAATCTTTAAAATAATATTTTTATTTATTGTATTTTCTTTAAATTAATCGTCCTTGTTTTTTTATTGAAGTGTATGTTTATATGAAGTGTTGTTATGTTAAGAGTAGAATAGCAATTTTATGTTTTACAAATTTCCTCGAATTTGAGGGAATCTGGTGTTTTGCGAACATCACAGTTTTTTGGGAGCATCATATATATCCTCAAATTCAGATATTTTTCCACTAATTTTAATCTCCTATTAAAATATTTAGATCATTTTAGTAGGTAAATAGGTTTACCTTAATTAGAACGTATTAGAATATATGTATATGTATAAATACAGCTTGAAAATGCAGAAGAACTGTCATTTTTGTCTCTGTGAACTACCATTACTTTTAATCGAAAATTTAATCCCGATATCCGTTATTTAATGCTTCAATCCTTTTACCCGTCGTTCCTTGCTTGCATTTACTGTTTTATTCATTAAGCAAAAATAGCACGATTTAGCCACACACGCACTTCGTCCTTCACGCAGATGCAGCTCTATAATATGCTTTCACAGACGTCACGCTTCAAGCATTTAGCTTATCATTCACATACAAATTCACAGACTTTAAAAACCTGCTGGCCTCTTTTTTTGCAAGATGTAAAGAACCGAACTCATGCAAAATAGAGTAATCGATAAAAAGAATCTCATCAACAATCAAATATTCTTTAAATTTAATTTGATTAAAATATATTTGTATCATTTGCTAAGGATTAGTTTCCCATATTACGCAGATAATACGGATTATGATCAGTATTTGATAGCCACTGTGCAATAAACAGCTAATTTTCGGATGTTCCTTGTATCGAAAATCATTTCAACTTGCTATTTTACTTTCTATTTAACTTAAAGTTTTCTTCGACTTATAAACAACTTTATTTTATCCGTAAAGAATACAGTATGTTTTCTTATTTTTCTGAAGTTTTGAAAAGTGTTTTATCTTAGATGTCTCTCTCGCCTGTGTTCCATTTTATTAATAATGAAGGTATTTTGATGTTCTATAAAAGTATCCTAAATCTTAATATATATGACGATTTTAACAGGAAACAGCAGTACGTGGCCGCGAAATCAATGAATCAAGTGCAAGTGAAACTCTGGCATATGCTTCGGCATTAGAAGTACGTAATTTTATGAATCATGAAATATCATAAGCTGTATTTACTGTTACTGATTGCGTAGCTAGATTTAGGGTGGAAGATTATGACAAATAATGACTACCATTAATTTATGATTATGATTTTAAAAAAAATATTTTTAACCGATGAAGTATTTAAAAATAATTAGTCTCCAAATGCAGTAATTAAATTGATACATGAAAAAAAATTAAAAAGCATTTCAAAAACTTGAAATACGGTTTTAAACTGTAGACGAAGAAAACATGTGAATTAAAATAAGTTTATAAAATAACATAATTTACCAAAACTACGCCCTGAAGCTATTTTAATAAGTTATCTAAAATATCTGGGATTATTATCAGGACAAATAATAAAGTTGACTGAATCCTAGTTAGCATATCATAATCCTATTAATTTTATAATTCAAATTTAGAAGTAATAGAAATAAAAAGTGTATTATTTAGTAGAAATATTTTTGCCTTTCTCGAACACTAAAACCAAACTGTTGGTGGCGTCAAATGGTCTCAAAATCGTCGTCTCAGACACTCCAAATTTTAAGCGTTTTGTTGCATTAAAAAAAATTTCTTCTTCTGTAAGGAATGAAAAAATCTAAGCTTTTTTAAATTTTTTATATATTTATATGCATTTCTGTGAATAAGAAAACGGTTCACTGGAAAAATAAGAATTTAAAATTGTAGGGGTGGTTTTTAGTAAAACTATAAATACGCTTTAAATGAAAAAAATGGCATCACTGTTTGAATAAGTTTACTTAATTTTCTTCGTTTCTCTGCTGTGTGTCTTAGAGCGCGGAAAGTATGACCGAAAAATTAATAAAAAAAATTTTAACGTTTCGTCTTTAAACATCACTTCCAAATGCATGCTACATAAAACACAAATGCTTTTCTCCGATAAGTATACAATATGCTAATATTTGTAATCAATTATTGCTTTAGGTAAAAATAATGTCAGGTATGAGCCATAGCAAGTTAGCAAAAATATTTGCTTACGTTGGACTTTGATATTTGCAACATATAACTGATGTGTTTTGTTGTTTAAAAATTAAACTAAAATTTCTAGTAGCATGTCTGTCATCGCTATTTGAATTTGCATCACGAATTATTACTTAAAAACTCTTTTGAATCATCATACTTGCTACAAATCTTTTTTTCCTTGCCTGAATCACATTTTGCTTTACAAAAATGAAAATGTATAATTGCTCGAAAGTACGCCTTACTGTACAATACTTTCAAAACAAACTCGGTTAAAAATTTTTTAACAAAAGCAATACGTTTGGAACTCGCAGTTGCACCAAACTCTCATTTCACCATCTACCATAACCGAACTTCACGCTTTTAGGAACTGCCTTGTCCTTAGAAGGTTGTTTTTAAGGCCATTTTCATATTTAAAGTTTCAATTATACGAACTTGTTTCGAAATCCGTACAAGTTTATAAAATTTTATTATATTAAACTGTGATTTGAAATACATCTCAAAATATTTCATATTTATGTCATTTGTCAGCTAGAAATCACATATCATGCTTTAAAGAATACAAAAGCCATGTATTCTGTAGAACCATACATTAGTTTTAGTTCAGTGATTTCCTGTTTAGATTTTGTTCGCTCTTGAATATTTGTGCTGCATGAAATACTCCCAGAAATCACATTTAGTGCTTATTGTACAAATGAAACTTAAGAAACAATCCAATAAACGTTCGAAAAAATACATAAAAATGTAATTTTGTATATGTGGGATAATTCAAAGAAATGCAAATAATCTTCTATTTAATTTATTAAAATCAAGTATTTTAATATTTTAATAGTAAATAATTACCTTAATTATTTACTATTAAATTTGCCCTATACATTTAATAGATGAGGTATCCACTCATTTAAGGATTTGGAATTATTTTAATATTAACGTCATGGTACTGCATTTGAATAAGATTTCCATTAATCATAATCTTGTGCTAGAATTTTCTTTCATAACCGAACATAAAGTTTCAACTGGACTCATATCCGGACTATTGTCTGAGCAAAGCAATAATTTTCCATAAAATTAAAAACTGTAAGCATTTGACTACAAAATTTAAACATGTAACATTTAATTGTTTAGAGCATTTCTAAGCACGAAAAGACGATACGTTATCAAAATACAAATTCGTATTTGAGTCTGAAGTCATGTTTATGATAGTCATTTTATAGTCATATGTTAAAATATTTTTATTTTCTCTAACTATATAACTTTTCTCAAACTTTTACTATTTATCCAACTTTTGATATTTTTCGCATTATTGATGGTGGGGGCCGTTAACTCAAAGTCATCTATTGGTCTCCTGCGTTATTTTCAAGAAATCTGAGGATAATTAATCCCATTTTCAGATTTTATTACCAAAAAAAACTTGGGAATAAAGAAAAATGCAGTTTCGAATAAAACGAAACATAAAGACGAGAAAATGATATTAAATAATATTCATTCGCATGTAGTAAAATATCCATGAGTATTTTATATACTCTACTCCATTTTGTAACATATCATTCTTCAAAAAATCCAGCCTGAATATAGCATGTTTAAGCAGTAGCTTATTCTAAGTCTAGCATTTTTTTTTTGGTACATAATTTTTTGAGCCTGCATGTTTTTAATGTATTATTAACTTTGTGCTCCCTATCTCAGTTGTTATTTTCCGAACACATGGAAGTTCATTGATTGTTTTTGAATTTTAACTTGCTCTTCTATTTAGTAAATATATTTTCATCAATTTCCTTCTTATATTTGTCATCAATTATGCGTTTGTTATACATTCCTTTACAGTTCTCGGCATAATCCACATTCGTGATTAAAGCTTGACTAAAAAGACAGAGATTTTTACTGCTAAATTTTTCAACCATTTCCCTCTGATTACACTCATTTTCATTTAAAGGAGTTTAAACAAATGTCACTTTGCGAGTTATAGATTTTTTAACCTATAAAAAGTAGCAAAATTCTGGGATAAATAGTAAGTATGGTAAAGTTTAATTCAAAATTTCGTAAAGCAATAACATAAGAAAGAAAATGTATGTAATAGAATGTGGCCTGATTTCTAACTTAATTGTTTTACATTAAACCGATTAAAAAGGCGAAAAAAGAACAGAATTAATTATAGCATGACCAGATTGCTATATAAAAGAGTAGAGATAACGCCTTCCAAATATTACAATTTATAACTACAAATTAAACATTTTGACTATTAAATTAAGAACTATGTTAATATAAATATGTGTTTTTAAGTAACTGCTGGCTTAAAATTAAAAATAATACCGAGTTTCCTACTTTTAAAATATTGTTTGTCAAAATATGATTTTTTTCTAACACTTTTTTGAAGACTAACTGATGACAGTGAAGCCTTGAGGAGACGGGGATTAAGTGAAACCTTACAAATGCAACCACAGAACACGTCTCCGTCTTATCTAGTAGAAAAATGCTTGATCGAAGTCGGTAATAGGTGAGGTGCGATAATAAAATCAATGGAGATTTGTAGTTGAGATAAAATCGCGGAGAAACGTTCGTTAATCAGCTTTTGAAACTTTAACAATAATTTAACGAACTGGCAGAACAATGCATGATTAGTCATATGAATATCAAAGTGTTTAAATGTTTTTTCTTTGATACTGCGGTTATTTTACCGGGCCTTTACAGCTGGGATATCTCTCATATTAAAATCGTTTTTTTTTTTTTTTTCATATCTTTTACAAACAAATTGTAGCGCTTAGTCATTTACTGTACATAATAATTCGTAAATAATTTAGAATTTAGCTAAGATCACAGGAAAACATTTAAGTATATGAATTTTAAGAATGAAAGCTTTCCAAATAAAAGGTTTTTATTTAGAATTTATGCAAACCAAAATTCACTTTTAATACTTTAAAGCTAGATGGACTACTTCATCAATACTATAAAAATTTGACTAATTGATCAAAAATATAAAAATATCAATACGTAAGCATCTTAGGCATTTCATTTTAGATTAGCATACTCATTTAAATATTTTATAAAGTAAGCACTAATTTTCTTAGGGTACTGCGGATGGGAAAGTTAAGTACAATGGGAAAGTTAAGTTGTGTTTTTTCTTACCTCAAATTCAGACTTTTTCTAAGTTTTCTGTTATTTATAGGGTTAGTAAACTGAACGTTTTGTAGCTTGTTATGGTTTTTTTTTTTTTTTTTTTTTTTTTTTTTTTTTTGAAAAAGTGAGATGTACTGAATATTAGTTTGAAATTTCAAGTGCACATTCCTCAGTTTTGAGAGTTTTAATTTTGTCAATTAGACTATCAATTGAAGTATGATACTGTGAGTCTCAAGAATTACCTAGTGAGGAAGACAATATAAAAAATCATTGCAAAATAGGATTCTGGATTTCCGTCAAAGAAATTTCCTCCTATTTTGTGCATGATGCAGTTAAATAACTAGTTGATATTTTTTAAATTTCCTTTAATTATTAGTAATTAATATGCAGTTTCAGAAATAATCAAAAATAATACTGTATACAAAATTAGATGCAATCTATTGATGTGCGTTCGCTTCAAATAACTGAACTTGTAATACTCAGTGTATTATATTATATTCTGCTTTAAGTAATTGTCAATAACTGAAGGTATCTCTAGTATCTCCAGTTAAGAAAGGCCTATTTTTTAATGCAGTAAAGCCTTGTTAACACAAAACCTTTAAGGGACCTAAAGCAGTATTTCCGTCTCCTTTTCAACTGCTCGAATAGTGGATATCACAAGTCATTTGCGATAAGATCTCGTCATAAGGGCAATAGTCTCTTGATCCAGAGAGTAAAGATTACTTGTTGCATTTGGGGGGGGGGTGAAGGGAAATTTTACATTTAAAATCTTTGAAAATTCGTGTTAAATGAAAAAAAAAAAATTAATGACTAAACGGATTAAGAAACATTTCGTAATTCGAAGTAACCAAAATTCGCGTTAACCAATAAAACAGACTATAACTTCATATACCTGTCTTGCCG